GTCTACAACTATCTGAGAGGAGGTTATAGCCAGGTGGGGTTCAGTCTCTTCTCCCAAGTAACAAGCAGCAGGACTAGAGGACATAGTCTCAAGCTGCACCAGGGGCGGTTTAGGTTGGGCATTAGGAAGAATTTCTTTACCGAAAGGGTAATTAGACATTGGAAGGGGCTGCCTGGGGAGGTGTTTGAGTCACCATCCCTGGACATGTTTAAGGAAAGACTGGACATGGCACTTTGTGTCATGCTCTAGTTGCCATGGTGGTGTTGGGTCATAGGTTGGACTCGATGATCCTCAGAGTTTTTTTCCAACCTTAATGATTCTCTATTGTATGGGTCCAGTAAGCTGAGTGCTCTACAAACACAGGACAACCCAAAAGCAATTCATTGTCCAGCTCTACAGACCCATGTGCTATTCCAAGATGCCTAAAGAAGTAGTGCCACACAATCCAGTGGCACGTGCCATGGACAAGCCTTGGAAAGCTTGTGCTGTCCTTCAGGGCTCCTCATGAATCAATAGGTGGTTGAACTGAAAGCTAGGTTGAAACCTACCTAAAAGATGTATAGGAAAATACTTTAGTATTATTCAAGTATTATTTCAGCTTTTTAATTTCAAAATACTCTACTGGTGGTTTGGGTGCTCCATATTAGGCCTGTTACACAGTCAGAAGCTTTACAAGTGGACAGTCTGGTTTGCTGGGGCATGCTGCCCCATCCTCAACTGTTTATCCTTCTGTTTACAACAATACAGACAAAAATAGGAGATGACGGAAGGCTCTGTTTAGAACTCATTCATATGTATGAAGCTCCTTTATGACTGCAGAAGCACTGACCTTTGCTTTTAATAGAGAATTAAACCCATGGGAAACAAATAGACATGGCAAGTACTGGTTCCCAGCAAGTTCTATGTCTCTATGCTCTTCCTCTCACAGTCCTATCTCTTGCAAAGTTACAGCACTGTTGAGTCTGACTCCAATTTGTGCAGAGCAACAGCAAGTAATAAATACAATTTGACACCTGTCCATCCTTTCTGCAGCTCTATCCTCCCAAACACACCAGGGAACCCACATAAAACACCTCATGATTAACAATGAACTATTCTTCTTCATGCATTTAGTAAATACCTTAATCAGAGATAATTCATATTTCACTTGTTTGAGAAGAGAAAGTAAAGCTATTCTTGTTTGTTCCTGTGGTCACATAGCACTATTGAAGTACCCAAAGGTAACTCCTAAAACTTTCTAAATCCAAAATAGAAGTGAACTAAATACCAGTTTTCTTACAGTAGAAAGATATTTGTAAATGTGATGCCAGACCACAAAAAACCACAACATACAGTGCGAGTGTTTGGTTTTCTTACATTTCTAGAAGACTTAACCAGTGAGCCAGGGATAAATCAGATTACAGAGCTTGTGAAAGATAGGAAGGGAAGCTCAGATTGAACCTGCAGGGAGTACTTTAGTTGTAGATACAAGAAACAGTCATAGGGCTCTGTCCTTTCCTGTCTATAAACTAGATTACTATATATATAGCATATGAATAAAAAACCTCATGTTTGAAAAAATTTCTGTATGCATACTGGAACCAAATTTAAGCTTGTTTTTTGTATCCTGCAGTTTTGCAAACCAACTTGATACTTCCTCTTAATATGATCTGATCATATCAGAGGTGAAGAGTTCATGACTTCTGGGGCTTTAGTTTTTAATTCTGCTTTTTGCAGCTTTTTCAGTGCTTTGGTTTTTTGGCAGAAGTGTGTTACAGAATGAAACTTCATTCCTATTAAACACAGTGATTCTACCAAAAAGCATACAACTACCTAGTGAGATTGGCACATCAATACTGTTTGTGGAAGGAGAGATTTTTCTGCTCCGCAGTACACAGATTACCCTGGTGCATGTCAGAGGTGGGTAGTTACTGCTGAAAGAGGATGAAGTTAGAAGTATATCTCACAGGGAAAATCAGCCATCCAGGAAGGGGGTTGTCTAAATAGTTATGAACTTTTAGAAATGACATGTGACCTGTCAGCATTTGGATTTTCTGTTAGAGCGAAGGTTATTTTTTGCTCCTGTATTCTATCAAAAACCTCCAAAGACAGCCAAAGAAAGTTTACAGATAAGTGAAACAGAACAAAGCTATTGCTTGTGATGGTGTTCCTGTCTGCTTGGCCAAAGAAAGATGTTTGTGGATAGTTCTGGATCTTCAGAGGCCCTTGAAAATGGATAAGCTCCAAAATAAACTAAGTTAGCTGCCAAGCACTCTTAGTCAACTTGAAAGAAAAATGCAAACCATGAGGCTAACAGACTGAGACTATTATCTATTATAATTTCTTTTCACTGCCACCAGTTAAGGAGGACAAAATTGAGAGACAGACAAGTTGTCCAGTTCAGCTGTACTGGCTTTTATCTCACATTTTGAACCAGCAATGCAAGTCTTTCCACACCTTCTCATGAATGACACTGGTTTCAAATTCTATCTAATGTTGAAGTCTCTACATTGCAGCTTGCAGAAGCCTCTAAAAAGCCTTTCTTTTTTGCTGTATTGAGTAGCTGTCAGCAGTACTGAGCAACAGTGGGTGAGCACAGAATCACTTTGCTCATTTGTATGGTACTTAGTACTACCATCAGTCTTATAGTTAGGTAGGAATCATTGTGGTGAGTCCCGTTTAGCTGGGTTCATTATTTGTTCAGTAGCAAGGTCCTAAATGAGACTGGTTAATTAAGGGAAAAAAAGCTTCTAAAGACTTGTAAAGAAATTAAATGGAAATTACTCACTGATGTGCACGAGGAAGAAGAGGAAGCCCAAGAAATGGAAAAGGTGAGTGCTAGCACATAGACTATACCATTCATGCATGCCATTACCTGGAGACCAAATGAGCTTTTCTGTGCTTGCCTACACCAGCAAATAACTGAGGAATGTGCCACTTGCATTAGAACTATGCAGTACCTGGATGTGTCATGTGTGTTACACAAAACTGCATATCCATGAGTGACTTACTCCTAAAAGGCTATGAGGTTCTAGCATGTCTCAGCAGCAGATCTCCAGGCTCAGGACACATTACCTCAAGGGTCTGGTCCTAGGATCAACATCACACCTCTGCAGACTTTGGAGCTCAGCCAGAGTGTCAAAAATATAGTGATTAGTCAAGTCTGTTGCAAATAAAAAGGGGAACAAAAGACTGAGTTTAATTTGTATTCAAGTACTATTCACTTTTCCCCTTTGGAATCACAAGTGCTGCTGTCACCTTTGCACGCAGCTGTTTTAAGTGAACTAGGGTACCAATACTGCAGCATTTATGTCATGTTAAATTGGCTTATACATAACTATCTCAAAGAAAACTGGAAGCAGGTAGGAGCTTTTTACCTTTTAATTAGGGATATTTCCTGTTTTAAAGTAGTCAAGTGTTCAAATTGAATGCCATGCATAAATTAATATCTCTAGTAAATGTAATAAATTTTTCAGCTTGTAGAATACCACAAGTCAGTCAGTACATCACCTGAACTTGTAATCTATATATCTGCCAAGTGACTTTACACTGTTTTATTCCCTCAAACTACTTATTGAATAATTGCTTTCACAATTCATTCCAGAATGTCTTCACTGTCCATCTTTTGAGATGTTTGTCACCAGAAAAGTGAGAGTAGGAAACATCTTCTATTGGTTTATGTATCTGTCACATTGTCCATGGTACATACAGTTGCTCTGTAGGTAGAAGTGGTACATACAGTTGCTCTGTAGGTAGAAGTGGTAGCTCACCAGCAAAATCACTATCACATGGCTTCAAGGCCATGAAGTCCTCACTGCTGAGCAGCCTTCCCAAAGTATATGCTGAGGACAGTCAGGCTTAACTAGATGCAATTTTCTAAAAGCCCTGAAAAGTTCTTTCAAACACCAGCTGTACTGCAGCTTTAATGACTACTTTAAATTAAATCACAGAATCGTAGAATTTAGGGGTTGGAATGGACCTTGCAGTTCATCTACTCCCAACCCCCTGCCCTGGGCAGGGACACCTCCTCACTAGATCAGGTTGATCAAGGCTTCATCCAGCCTGGCCTTGAACACTGCCAGAGTTGGGGCAGCCACCACATCCCTGGGCAACCTGTGCCAGTGTCTC